TTGTCCGCAGACAAACGGACCAGCGCCAACGTCGGTTATGCTCTGAGGAAGGCTACAGCGTTCGCTGAAACTTTGTCAGCTTAAAGGTAAAAATAAATCTTTACTACGCGTGTTTTGAAAAGAACCAAGCAATGGGATTGTAAAAAGAGGCTTAAGCCTACTCCTGAACATCTCCATCATAGGGGTTAGTTATTGGCAGAGGCTGCTCCAACTCTGAGCCACTGGGTCCAAACCAGGACTGTTATTACACATCCTAAAGCAAAAATGTCCGAACTTTTATTTGAAAAAGCCACACAGTTGGATTTATTTACTTGAAAAAACAAAGAGAAGGAAAAACTAAATCTGTCATTAATTAATTAATTAATTAATGACCAGTGGCTGTGGCAACTTTAAAAAAAGCACATCAGTGTTAGTAGAAAACATGGTGACACTTAACAAAAGGAATCCATTTATTAATGTTACTTAGTGCAGTATGTAACGTGATGAAGGAGCCATTCCTCAAGGTTATAATCCTCTAACCACAGTTCCATTTGACACAGCGCCAGAGTGCATGAAACAGCCTCAAGGTCATGCATTCGCTTCTAAACTGTTTACTTTCCAGCAATGGAGACAGAAGATGTAGACTTGTCACGTTGAGAGGATGGTTTGGACCAAAAATGCAGCAACCCAGGATGACACAAGGCAGAAGTGGACATGAAGTAAGAATCCTTTTATTCAGGAGACTGGGCATAAATCCAAAAGCAACACTGGCAAAAGGCAAAACAGAAGCTCTTTCATGAGCAAGCTCAGGAGAACACTTGAGACAGACAAAAACAACACTGACAACGACAATGGACCGACAAGAACAATGAGACAAGGAGAGGTTTTATACACTGGGGCTGGAGTGATAGGAGACGAGGAGCAGGTGTGTGGAGAACTGGCACAGGTGAAATCACTAATGAGGAGAGGAGTAGAGCAGGACACCAGACCTGACTGGGAAGGACAAACAAGCACACACACACACATACACATACTGACACACACATAAACTCACACACACACATATACTGAGCTGGGGAACACGAAGCTGGAGCTACAACTAGAGGGGCTGAGGATGACTGGATGACACAGGACCTGGGAGGAATGATTTTAAAGGGCTACGACATAAGACACATAACAGAGATGCAGACAAAGGACACATGAGGGCACCATGAAACACAGAAGGGAAACTAGAGAGGATGGAGAAACATCAGCAGACACATAAAGGAGGAGGCAGACGCAGACCATGACAAGACCCTTTTCTTTTATCGGATCAAAGAACTCTATTTTCAATAAAGCTAATCAAGACAACTGTTAGTCAATAATACAATGTGACCGATCTGTGAAATCACAATATTATGATTAATATGTTTTAATAAGTAAATGACTTATTCTAGTCACTAGACACCCTGATACACTAAGGTAAATAATCGCATGACACATTGCTGTTGCTGATCCAGTCAGAACCTTCCTAGTCTGAAGCGTGGCAGAGTCTCTGTGGTGTTTATTAAATCTGTCAGCTTTGATTCGTCCAGAATCAAAAACATCCAGATTAATAAAACAGTTCCAACGCCATCTTAAGTTCAGTATTCAAGATCCCCTGAAGTTCACCGCATGTTAAGTGAAGTATGGACAGGCCATCTGTACTTTTCTTTCTAAGCTGAGAACCATCAAATTGGGAAAATTCCGTTGTTACCAACCAAGCAACGGTACCTTTCAAAATAAAAGCTGAACTAGCTGACCCAAGGAGGGTCCCCTTTTGACGCTGTGAACCACCTGTCACTTTTTACCTGGAGACAATCCAAGGACTAGTTTGTCGTGCTGTGACGCTGCACCATTGGCTCCAGTACCGGAAGGAAGGTCCGAGGACCTGGCATTCTGGATCCATCGTGGAGGTCTCACTGAGGGTATGTGGATGCGACAAAATGGCGTCTCATGTGTTTATGACTACGAGTCTCAAACTCTGATCAGTTAGGAGCAAAACATCATCTCCCACTCAGACTTTGTTTCTCCGGATGCGAAGGTTCTGAATTTAACATCATTCACACACACCAACCACCTCACACTTCATTCCAACAGAACATCCATCATTAGAGAGTTAGTCTTGTTAAATTGTTTAAAATCATTTAGTAATAAACTTCCTGAAACGTTTGAAAGTCTCTCTCTCTTCTCTTGTCTCTCAGCTAAAGCAAAGTGTTATTAGAAAGTCCCTGTAATAAAAAGATCCAATCTTCTGATTTAAATAACCCAGGGTCCGTAAGATGGGATTCATACTAGATATGAATCTTTACTGTCTTATGGTCCTTAATTAAATGTAATTCTAATCCATTACATTAATCATTAATAAACAAAGGGTCCCTTTATTAGCATTTCCGTTACTGTTGTCTATTAAGTGTCCTTAAGTTAAGGACAAAGGCCCGAGGGGGGTGTTAGTAATGTATTACATAAAGTGGTCAAGCAGTTGTTAACGCACTATTTATTAGTTTATTAATGCTTAATAATGCACTAGGTAATGTTATTAAAGGGACCCTTATTGTAACGTGGTGCCTGTGTACGGCAGACTCGGCTCTGTCAGTGTGCCCCAGGGCAGCTGTGGCTATAATGTAGCTCATCAACACCAGCATGTAAATGGGTGAATGACTGATAGAGTTGTAAAGCACCTTGGGGGGTTCCATGACTCTAAAAGGCGCTATATCAAAAACGGGCCATTTAACATTTAACGTGTTACAGAAAACATTTTATTGTCCACTGAGGGAATAACGTTTCAGAACCAGCTGATTACTCTCCGCATTTGGAAATAATTCCCCAAAAGGCCTGGGAAAACCTTCACTATTCCCAGCTCCAAGACAAACAGAAAGCGTGTTGCTAGCTGTGATTAGCCGCCCCGCTCGTTTGTGAAGCTCACAGCCTTCATCAAGGACCTCTAGCTGCAGGAAATTTGATGAGAGGCCTTTAAATTGTCAGCACAGTCGCTGTGGGAGACTCTCTTATGAGATCAGAATTTTAGGGCCGATCGAAGCTGACGTGAGATTGGACGGTTTCCAGTGGGAAAGGAAGTGGAAGGATCCAGATCATTTACTTAAGTAAGAGCACAAATATGAACTCACCAGGACACGTCATGCTTGTATAAGATCATCCTGCAGGACAGTCAATCAGCGTTCAAACTGCATAACAAAGAAAAAAACTAACTGTACTTCTGTTTTATTGGTATTTTATCAGCTGTTATTAAGGTTTTGGTGTAAACTTTACAGAATCCGCAGACTTCTGTGACACATTTAAGCGTTTATTTCTACTTGATTGCATCTGTTGTTCCTAACTTTACCATCAGCATGTGGTTTCACAACAGGTCCCTCCTCTCGCACATGCAGAGCCCTTGAGAAAACCGTTTGTAGTTATTTTTCACCACAGCAGACAGACGATGGTGAGAGCCTTAACTCTGATCTAACTGTAACGCACACCGTCTGCAGGGATCATGTGAGGAGTGACAATCTGCAGAGCTTCTATGAGCAGCACGAGACGGCTCACAGGCTGAGGAGAGGCTTCAGTTTCAGACTCTTTAAGGAGCGTCATATTTTTGTGCAGCTTTGTTCATTTAGTTATTAATTTGCATGTAGTCTTGTGTATTTCTGCAGCTGATTATTACTCCCATGCATCTCTTACATGCAGCTAAATGACAACAAATTAACCTAAAATCTGATTTTATGTGTTTATTTTACAATCAGATCATTTGTGGATTCATTTCCCCCAAACCTGACTTTCTTATTTGTTTTTAAATAAAACACTGGACTAGATTAATTGATAATACGAGTCAATTAGAAATCTGATTTGATTAGACATAAAGATATTATGGCATAAATGTTTAACAATGCGCTATCAACTCCCATCTAATAATTAGCGAGGGGCAAAATCCTGTTTTATGTCCAAATATAATTTAAAATTACATTGTGGAGCAGATTTTGGTGTAGAAGGATTGATAAGTCAACAGCTAGTGTGAGTGCAGCTAACACCAAAATGATTTGCAGTTTAAAGTCACATATTGGATATTCTCTGGTTATTTACCAGCAGCAGCTGAATGTAGCACTTCCTGTGCACCTACATGGAGCTGGTGCCTTTCTCCTGCTTTGATTGGATGAGAGTTGAGTTACAGCTCAATCAGTCTGGCAGGGTCACACGGAGGTGAACAACTGTGTGAGTGGGAGGAGGCTGAAGTACCAGAAGAAAACTCACACATGCATGGAGAAAACATGCAAACTCCACACAGAAAGGTCCCAGTAGAGGAGTTCATCCAGCTGCAAGGCAACAGCCTCCATCTAATGCAAAGGTGATAACGACCGAGGGTTAAATAATTAATAATCACATTCTTTTAGCTGATTAATATGGTGCAAATGGACACAACTCCTGAGATTTGCAGCTTAAATGTCATAAATTCTACATCAATGAGCCAATACACTCAGTTATTTTGTCTGATAATTTCAGGAATCCTGCCAGAATTGACCTCTGGATTCACTACAAGTGCTGTTTGTTGCTACTAATCAGTGATAATGAGACACGTTTTGCTGGGAAAAGTCTTTCTGTTACTTTTGCAATAGAGTATCACTGATAATGATGAATTGCATTTGTTGAATGATAAAATTTTACAGCTAAACTTGCAGAATTGTCAGTCATTTACCTGCAAAATCTTTAAATATCAACGTTCTTATATGTAAAAAGAAAGAGAAGCATCTTCCAGCTGAAAGAAAAAGGACAATTTAAGTGAAAGTAAACTTTAAAAACCGGAGTGTTAAGTCGTCCTCTCATGACTGCCTGCTGGCTGGGTGTCATTGTGTTTCTCTCTGTCCTCACCACGGTCCACAGGAGGAAACCCATCCCTCCTGAGCAAAGTGCACTTGGAGGGGGTGGGCGGGTGTTCACAACCGAGGCCCCAGTCCACTGCCATTGGTCGTGACAAAACCCGAACCCGTTTAAAACCAGCCGCCGCCTTCTTGCCCCCTTTTCACACAAACTCAAGCCCCAAATCCAGATAGTCCGGGAGGGACTGGCGCACTGAGGGCTGCTGAGAGACAACCAGAGCTGCTCCGAGGATGCCCGCGTACGCCACCAACATGAGGCTGAAGTTCCCCATCCTGGCCCTGATCCTGGAAATTATCACCATCATCCTGTATGCTGTGTTTGCCGTCTACGATGATGGGATTGGTCATGACAGCCACCATAATGCCACTGAAAGCAACCCCATGGAGCTCTATCCCAGTAAGTCTGCAACGGGGCTGCTTGGGGATTTTAACCGGAGTTATGAGTTAAAACATGAATCTTAAAACCAGAGAAAACATCAGCAACACCTCAGCTGTTTCCCTGACATGAGGTGATTAGTTATTTATTTAACTATTTCTTCTAATTGTGAGTTCCTCTTTCACAAGAAGGGCTCTTTCTCATCGAAGAATTAGAAGTTTTCTGAAACAGATCAGCTAAATTTAACAAAGTGTTTGCCTCCTTCTGGAAGTCAGACATCAAGCTGAGAAGTCAAAAGCCTCCTGCAGGAGAAAGTGTCATCTCTTGCACATGATTTGCATTTATTGTGACAAACGGGGAGACTTAGAGCGGTCAGCTGGAGCAGAGAAAATGCAGCTTTTGTGGCATCTAAAAGCTCATGTTTCAGGTGTTTCTTTGGTTCTTTTGTTTATTTTTTTACAGTTCGGCTGCTATTTGCATCTGAACAACTTATCAGTGTTGAGATAGTTGCAACCACAAACTGCTGCTTTACTGTATGTGTCTGCTGGTGGTTGGGTGGGGCAGGTGTGAGCCACGGAGATTAGTTAAGTGTCTAAATAGATAGAACATTTCAGCTGTCCTGCAAGAATCATTTTAAAAATTTATTTTAGCTTATTTTGGGTAAAAATGAAATAAACGAGCATTTCTTAAAGCGAATCTTGCTTTTAGATGCTTTTTGTTATCTCCAACATCCTTTTCTGCAGAAACTGTCACTCCATCTCTCCCAAAAAATAATTTTATTTCTTGACATGTCATTTTAAAAAGTTTGCAAACATTTCTGAGTGAAATGGATAATTATACAATAAACTACTGCTGCAAGATGTAAAAGACATAGTTGCTCTGCAAAGGTCCACCATCTGGCATGCAGGCATCTGTAATAATAATTACAAAATAAGACAAATGGACACAAGGTAATGAAGATTGATGATTAATGTTGTGATTTTCTGTAATGATTCTGCACAAGTTTCTGATTTCATCATAACGAGGAGCTGACATGCAGAGTGAACTCATCAAAGGAAAGGTGAAGCATTTGCTGAAGCTTTTCAGTAACTCTACGTTGATTTTTTCTCTGCTTGCGTCACACCCCATCAATCGGCTCCACAGATGCTCCTCGGGGGGATTCTCTCCTGGCTTTGCTCACCCTCACGGTGCTACCAAACATCTGGGCATGTTGCCACTCACTGTGGCTGCTTTCCAGCTTCATATCTCCAGCATCCTCAAGCTCTCTGAGTCACCCTTCTGAGTTTAAAAGTATAAAAAAGAGTTTTTCTGCTCTGTGTGGCCACAAGCCCAATCAGATTGCTTCACTTTTAATGTGCTGCTGCACATATTGTGCTTAGAGCTGATAAAGTTGAATATAAGATGGGATGCAGAGTTAAGAAGAATGATTCTGTCCAATCTAGAGGATTAATAGAATATGAACTATTAACCTCTGCTAAAAGCTCATAATGATGAAGATAAAAAGGAGATTGTTTTTAAATTCTGTTTGAGAACATTGGTATGGGTAAATTATTCCTCTCTTTTTGCAAATGCAACATGCACTATAGTTAAACACCTAATAAGTCTCCAGCTCCAGTTTCCTACTGGTTGAAAGTGAAATTACAATTGTAGTAAACAACCCTGCTGCAGCCTTCTTTAGCTAGTGCTAAAAACGTGCTAACGCTAACACGACCCAACTGATACAAAAAAAAACACGGAGTAAAAAGATCCACACTCTTGAACAAAAAATATTATCACATAGAAGTCCAGTAACAACAATGCCAGGCCACCATCAGTCTTTGATTTCCGTCAAACTAGCGTAGGCCACGCCGATGTTCACTCTGGTTTTAGCTCTTTGCTTCACCTCAGAAGACATTGCTCTTACTGCCATGATGCCAACAGAAAAAGCAAAAATCTTCTTTTGCTTTCTTGTTTTTTGACGATCATCAAACCAAAAAAAGCCAACTGCTAACCTTTATTTCAGCTACCAGCACAAAAAACAGCTACTGGCGTAAAGCAGGCAGAGATTTCACGCTTAAGTTCCTATACCCAAACCACAAAACTGTTAAGTGTTGTTTCTGGCCAGCAGAGGGCAGCGGAGTGCTGTCCATTGTGATGTTGGTGAAGTTTAGAGCTGAAGAACCACTGAAACAACTTTGTAAGGAACAGCTTAAAGTGTTTAAAACTCTTTAGTTGCTTTTAAACATCATCAAAACACTTTGGTCTCAGATGCACTTAGACTAGCTTGAAAGACGTAAACTCAGTTTCTCTGAATGGAAACCATACTATAACTGGTATAGTGACCAATGTCTAATTTATCGATATAAAATAGTAAATCTGTCATCATCAGCAGACTTTACGGTTGTAAATCACATATTATTCTTCAAAACAGACACAAAGAAAATAGGTGTTTGAGACAAACCATCATGCATGTTTGGTTTTATCAACCCACACACATTTGCTTCCCATTTTTTGCACAACTTACCCAGTTTAAAGCCTCGTCGAATCATTAGAATCCATTTACAGGAATCAGAATAAGACTATGAAACACATTTTTTAAATCTTAAACAGCATTAAGCTACAGTGTCCTTGTATTTTCAGGCTTTGAGCAGGTTTGGTCAAATTTCACGTACAGAAAGTTGGATTAGCTGTTGTATCTAAGAAGAAAAGGAACCAAGGCTAAAAAAAAGGAGAGAAAAAAACCTTCCCTGATAGCGATTTTACAGTAGTGGTGTCCTGTCCAGACAATAGAAGATAAACTACATCAACTGCTCATCAAGACCAGAGGAAATTAGTGGCATTGTTCTTCCACTTGATGCATTTCCCACATGAGAAAGTCGTCATGTCAAGCTTAGAGGCTTTACGGAAGCACGAGTCCGACTTCCTGGCAAGATGATGAGTTCTAAAAGAAGAAAACAGACACAAAACAAAACTTCAGCTCTCAAAGAGCAATTAGTTAGTCGTATGTTCTTACAGTTGTTGCATGAAAAATGTGATGTGATCCATGTTCTCAGATAAGATCAGAGTTTCCTAGTTTGTCTGCTTATTGAAGACTTTAGACTCACATGCACTCTGACAGAATGGCATCCAGAGTCTGATTAGACTGCTTTCACAGCTCACGGACAAAGCAGCTCCTGTAACTGCTCAGTAACCACTAAAAGATACAGCAGGAAAAGCCGAGTTGAGAACTTTCCGTCTAATTGCATTTTATTAAAATGTTCCGTCTGATTTAATTTCACGCCCTGGTTCAGCAGCAGCGGAAGTGACCTCTCTTCTCATCTTCTTAGTGTTTCAGGACGTCCACGTCATGATCTTCATCGGCTTCGGCTTCCTGATGACATTCCTGAAGAGATACGGCTTCAGCAGCGTGGGGGTCAACCTGCTCCTGGCCGCCTTCGGCCTGCAGTGGGGCCTCCTCATGCAGGGCATCTGGCACATGGACCATGGCAAGATTAAAGTCAACATCTTTAAGTATGAATTTGTCTGTCAGATGAATTTTGAGTGATGGGTCCAGTAAATGTAACTCTCTAATGTCATTTATAAAATCTCCCATAGGATGATCAACGCAGACTTTAGCACGGCTACGGTCCTGATCTCCTTTGGTGCTGTTCTGGGTAAAACCAGCCCTGTGCAGCTCCTCATCATGACCATCCTGGAGATCACCATCTTCTCTATCAACGAGCATCTGGTGGCTAACATTCTGGAGGTGAGTTTGTAAAAATATTTAATAAGACTGGTGAAGAAAAGCAGAAGTAGCTGTTTTTGTTTTGCTCTTCTTTTACAGGCTAATGATGTTGGAGCATCGATGATCATTCATGCTTTCGGGGCCTACTTCGGTCTCGCAGTGGCTCGAGTTCTTTACCGACCCAATTTAAGGAACGGACACGAGAACGAGGGATCTGTTTATCACTCTGATATGTTTGCTATGATTGGTAAGAGACCGTTACTTCACTAATTGGGTTACTAAGTCTTCTGATCAAAGCCACGAAGTGAAAAGATCCACACAAGTCCAGTAGCAACAAAGCCAGGTCACAATCAGTGTGTGATTTTGTAGCCTCCTTTAGCTCCCTCAAGTTAACGTAGGTTGCACCTATGGTCACTCTGGTTTCAGCTCTACTTTTACGTCCAGGCTCCGCCATGATTCTAACAAAAAAGAAATTTTTTTCTTCTAATGGTTTTATTTGACAGTTGGCTCACTGACAGAGCTAACTGCTAGCCTTTATATTAGCCACTGGCACAGTAAACAACAATTAAAGCAGGTAGATACCTCCCACTGGTGTTGCTGAGCCACAAAACCGTTAAGTGCACTTTCTGGTCAGCAGAGGGCGACAGAGTGCTTTCTAACATGAAGTTGTTCAAGTTTATGGCTCAAGAATCACTAAAACCAGTTTAAAAGCAATACCTTAAAGTGTTGCTTTAACATTTAAATTTTTTATTCATTAATTCTAATTTTTTTTATCTGTATTAATTTATTTGTGTGTTAATTTATTTATGCAATAACTTTGTTTTGGAGTTTTTCTGCCTTGAAGACTATACTGCAGTGTATTTAGACACTTATTTCGTTGTGCGTGTGCCACCAAGTGGACACAAACAGCTGTGCAGCTTCATGCTCAACCATGACTCATGTTCCACAGGAACCGTCTTCCTGTGGATGTTCTGGCCCAGTTTTAACTCGGCCATCGCTGATCCAGGCCTGCCTCAGCTCACCGCAGTGATCAACACCTACCTCTCCCTGGCCACCTGCGTGCTGTCCGCCTACGCCATCTCCAGTCTCGTGGAGCACAAAGGGAAACTGGACATGGTCGGTGCTCCTTCCCTCCAGGAATCTGGCCTCATCTAAAATTCAAACATCGGGTTCAAGCCCTGTTTTTGTGTCTGCAGGTTCACATTCAGAACGCCACTCTGGCTGGTGGTGTTGCAGTGGGAACTTGTGCCGACATGAACATTGATCCATTTGGAGCCATGCTGATTGGATTTATAGCTGGCATCATCTCCACCCTGGGATTCAAATATCTCTCTGTGAGTCCGCTTTTTTAGAAAAAGTCCAAATTTTAAGTTTAAACATAAGAAATGCACTTGAAAATTGGCCTGGTTCAGCAATGCATCTGAAAGCTAGCATTTATCATTGGTAGAATTGATTAATTAAAAGGACTTGGTTAATCAAACTATAGATTTTCAGTCAGGAGCAAACAGCATTTTTTTTTTTTTTTTGCTTCTTTGTAGCCCATCCTGGCCTCCAACCTGGGGATCCAGGACACCTGTGGAGTCCACAACCTGCACGGCATGCCGGGTATCCTGGGTGGACTGGCTGGCATCGTGGCTGTGGCTTTAGGAAAGAAGAACGGGTAAATCTCACGCCTGCAGACACACAGAAAACCCGTTTCTGCTGATGAACAGAAATTTTATTCTCTATTTGAATTTCAGCTCTGCGTCCATGCAAGCTGCAGCCTTGGCTTCATCCCTCGGGTTCGCTCTGATTGGAGGAGCCATCACAGGTGAGGGCTAAGCCTAATAAAAGTGCAACAAAAGAAAGTCACAACAATAAATTAATCAAACAATTTCCTCTTTGAGGCTTAATAATGAAGCTGCCCTTCTGGGGACAACCTCCGGACCAGAACTGCTACGATGACTCTCTTTACTGGGAGGTGAGAAATCCCACTCCTCATAAACGCCATCAGAAATGGAAGATGGGATATTTTATTAAGTTAGCACTTTTGGGGCTCGAGCATCAATCGGCTTCTGTTGCACGTTCACGTTGGTGATAATATTCTGCTCTGTGTCTTCAAGGTTCCTGAGGAAGAGGAGGAGAATGAAGGGAGCTTGGCTCCAGCAGATCCTTCCAAGAATAAAGCAGAAGCTTAAATGCCTGCAGAGTGAAGATGTCCTTCCTTTAAAGCTTCTGTTGTCAGTTACACTTTTGTGATTTGACAAAACAACACTTAAAACCACTCAGTTAATCTTTTGAAGAGCCTTACATATAAATGTGTTACTATTTCCCCTCAGTGCCGTTTACATTTGTATTAATGGAGAAAATAACATTTGAATTGGAATTGTTTTGTTTTTAATCAAAGAAGCGTTTGATCAAAACAAAAAGAATAAACTCCATACCTTAGCAGCCCAAAAGGGGAAAGTTTTATAAGCTTTTCAATGAAATTATGTTATTTTAAACATTGCCCTAGCTTGTACGTTTCAGACTTTTTCTCGCAGGTGCAAACCAGCTGAGACAGACAGAAGCTTTGATCTGTTACCTGACCGGAGCTCGCTCCTTGTGCATGAAAGGCATCATAGCTAATAGACCTTAATATGATTTATCTTTACTACTTCCAAACATTTTCCCATCATTGTGAGGACACTTGTACAATTTTGCATGAGATTGCTGTTACTGAACACAAGATGTTTAACTGTGTTATTATTTCTTTTTTTGGAGCAAATGTAATTTTTACATGTACATACAGACAGGTTGATATGGTCAGTTTTGTCACCTCTAACATCTGGTACTGGATATTTTTTCAGTTATTTTCAACAGAAAAGCATCAATCTGGCCTCAGTTGACAAAAACACTGTAGGATTACAGAAAAACTTCTGTCAAATCACACTTTAACGCAAAAACTAAAACTGTGTTCAAAACATAGAACTGAAAGATTGATGAAACTGACTACAAATAGACTACTTATAGGAAATTATTAAGTTTTTTTAATGATTTGTGTTGCCAAGAACACTGAAACTCATCAGGATTTTTTACACAGTAGGCTTTTTTTGTTTTTGTTTGTATAAAATACAAATACTGTCATAATAAATGTGTTTTTGTACAACACTGCTGCTCATGTGTTGCTATTTATTTATAAGAGAGCTTCAACAATGACACAAAAACACAAAGAATTACATCATATTTTTGTAGAAGCAATAAAGTTGTTTGTTTCCTTTCTTTTTGCCTCTTTTACTTGAAACGTGAGAAGCTCTAAGTTGAAGCTCTAATTTTCTCCAATAAAGTTGATTTCTTTGTTCCTTTTTTGCCTTGAACTTAAATATTTGAAACACAAACGTCACACTGGAAACTTAAATAGAATAAAAATTATAATTGTAAGATGTAAAAGTGGATTTTTCAGGTTGCAAATCCGTTTTAGACTCTTTCACTAATAATGTATCTCCAACAGCGTCATCACGTGGTCAAAATATTAACCCATCTATGTAGAAGCGCCCGTTATTCCTGTTCAGGCCGACAGGGGCGCTGTGGTAAAATCAGCACCATTTGTTTTGAACGAGCTAGCCGCGGTGCATTATGGTCTAGACAATGTCCAGGATTGCCATTTAGCGCAAATTGACCAAATATAACAGCAAAACAATATTTATACACGTTTTAACTTCATCCAGTGGATGCGGTGGGAGTGAATACGTGTTTTGTGCCAGTTTTTACTCGTTATTATGGTGAGTACAGAACAAAAACTGTCACCGACCTGTGTTTTAGCGTTAGCGTTTAGCTGGATAATGTAGCTTTGATGTTATTTAGAGAACGGGCTTAAATGAAAACCTGTTTGATGTAAAATAGCCTTTAAAAATCTCGTTATGTTTTCTAGTCAACAAAAACAGAATGCAGGGTGTCCAGCTCCACGTCCAGAACAGAAGAGAGGAGGAAGTCAAGGAGCAGAGGTGAGGTAGCTTTCATTGTGTTGTTTTGCTTTCTAGGGGATTAAAATGCTTTTGTTCTGGTCATTTATAAATGCACAGTCACTACATATATGCTTATCGGCTTCACCCAACTGCAAGATTATATAGTAGGAAATAAACAATGGATGGAATACCTTCCCACGTATTTCAGCATCTACCCCATAAAAACAACAGCTGTCTTTGTGACCCCAACCATCTTTAATTCAAATTAGACACGCATTACTAATAAACAGATATAATGGAAACTAATTAAGAACTAATTTTAATAATTTATGTAAATTAATATCTTTCTGCTGACTCTGCTTTTCCCGGGATCCAATGATTGCCTTTTCTTGTTCATTTTGTTTTCCCTTTCCTCACATCACTTGCTTTTCTCTTTTTTATATTTTTTGTAATTTTTTTATTTATTTGTTTTTGATTATTTTTGTTCCTGAGTTAAGTTTTTATTTATTGCAAGTAACATTAATCACTGTTATCGCATATCGCAGGTTTTTCTAAACTCGTGCAGCCCTAAACATAACTGTGAAGAGAAAAATCTGAATGAGTCTGAATCTGCTTTTTCTTTTGTTAATGTCTGTTTTTCATTAGAACGAGAGAAAAGGAAGCGTAAGCGAAGTCGTAGTAGATCTTCCTCATCATCTTCCAGTTCGTCGTCTTCACAATCACGGTCTTCCTCCTCTTCATCTTCATTGTCCTCCTCCTCCTCCTCTTCGGGTTCATCACAGTCATCTAGCAGCAGCCGGAGTAGCTCAAGCAGTAGTGGTAAGTGTACCATGAAAGAGTAGCCAAGATATCCTGCCCTAGGGCTGGGCAACCGATTTGGAATAGATTTCATATCAGTTTTGTCAGATCAATTCATTAGGCCTAAGATCGATTTTTCCCTTTGGACCAGAGTTGCCCGTCGTTTGCTGCAATACCCAGCACTATACTGCACTATTAATCCTTTGAGATTCATTACAGGATTAGGTCAGTGATGCTTTAAACCGGGGGTTGGCAACCCGCGGCTCCAGAGCCGCATGCGGCTCTTCCATCCATCTGATGCGGCTCTCTGTGCTTGTAAAATAATGACTGGATATTTAAATAAAATGCTTTATATTTTACTGCATAAAGTTTACATCTGTATGCCAATTCTAAATGTAAAGATTGTCTGCGTAAACCTGAACAGTTCCAACCCGGTCTTACTGTGTGACCGGGTTGACGGGTCACGCTTGTGCGTAATCATATCGGCGCTTCTGAGCTGAAGAGGATGTGAGATTCTCGGATTCTCCTCAGACGGCTCCTGGATGTGTCGCCACATTGGAGACAGGAACAAGCACTATTCAGCCAATGTTTCATAATCAGGGAACATTTTCTAAGTGACAAATCTCTCTGAGAGACTGGGTTTGGAAAACGCTCACTTCAGTGGTAGGAACCTTCCCGCATGCGCTCTGGTTCTGCGACGCGCTCCAAGCCAATCTCCACAACTTCAGCTTGCTGTGCACCATATGTATGTGCTGACCGTGAGCTGCGCTGAGCAGTGTCCAGCTCAGATGTTCAGATGGGAATCTTTTCTTGGGTGATTTAGCTACATCTGCGATGTGCGTAGAGTAAAATGTCAGTTTGTCTGCATGCGTCGGGGTAATTCTTTCTATTCTTTCTCCATCAAAATAAACGGTCAAACATGGGAACTATCCAGTCAACGCAAGCCCTGCTTTTAACTGTTCTGTTTTCTTGTGAAAATTGTTACAAAGAGATAAAATTAAACTTGATTAACACCAGAGCCAGGCGCACTGCGCCGTTATCTCCGTCGCTGTAAATGAGGGAAAAACAAAATGATCGGATCCTTTTCTGACCTTCCCCACCTACAAAGTTTAATTACAACAATCAAACGTGACAGAGCCTGGATTTGTATTCTGAATAGTCTAAACATGTTTTAAAAAGAAACGTGTGACAAAAGTATATCAAAATATTGTAGCAGAGACAGGCAACAACTTCTGGATCCACTTTATATAAATCGTTTTATTGATTATCGTCTTATGAAAAATAACTTTGACGTACACGAGCGACCGGTACCGGCTACTGTCACCTGTTGTGATTGGTTAAAGCAGCTCTCAGATGTCTGAGGGTAGGCCCCGCCCACAACGCCGCAGCTGCTGTGGCTCCCAGTGTATTCTTTACTGTGGGAAACGGGTAATAATGGCTCTTTGATGGGAACAGGTTGCCGACCCCTGCTTTAAACACACCATTATGAATAAAAGTGCGTCGTTATTCTCGTAATCTGGTTTTAGTAACAAAAACCTCTGATTTATTTGCTCTTTAAAGGGACATTATGGAAGTTTGACAGCCAAAACGTGTATAGAAATAATAAATGTCTTCTTCATACATTCTACTGCAATGCCCTGGTCCTGTAGAATGAGCCCTGGCATTTTTACTGTGATTGCCTGTTTTTCTGTAAAATCACAGAAAAAGAGAGATGCTCGGGTTGAGCAGGCTGCTTCATGCGTGTTCACGCTCAGGCATAGCCCGTAGCATTTGCTATCCGTGGCTTTAGCAGCAGAGAGAGAGGGAGTGCCACTTTGTCGCTGTTCCTAACAACTAGTGATGAACCTAGCTACATTTCTGAGGACCCTTAGCTACTTTCTTCTAGATATTTCCTGCAAATTAGCAACAAAATAGCCATTTTTGCTTCGAACCGTTCTTTGGTTTGACGTTGTTTCAGGTGTCATCAAGGATATAAACGTTAAAGATACTGTGAATGTTACTGGTGTGTAGCTCACCTTGTAAGATGTCTGACTCCCATGCAGAAGACCTGGGTTCGGTTCTGGGTATGAACATTTTAGAGTTTCTTTTTTTACATTAATGGTATATTTTTTTACAGTAAGATGCCCAAATTTTTATTTGAGACTCGCCGAACGGCATTGAATTCACAGATAAAAAAGATGTGGGTTCAACTTTCATTTTGGAACAATTTTTCAAGCAAGGGAAGGGAATGATCTGAGCATGCAGGAGGACTGACCCATCATAAACCTTTGTCGGCTGTGCTGAAGAGAAAGGTACAGAACCAAATTATTTAATTAATTAGCTGCGTGTTCTCCTGTCCTCTGTCCTCCGGGCCACACACACACACACACACGGGACTGTCTCAGCTGTTACTTTCGTTAAGGAGTGTGCACGTACAGCATGCGCGCCTCGTGCACGAGCGTACTATTGAAGCTGCCGTTACGCTTTTGGCCTGAGGGGGCAATCGCGAGCATAAAAATTCAAAAGTCCGTAAAGTCCCTTTAAACGCCGGAGTCTTGCGGAGTTTTTCATATCCTTTTCCAGGGTAAAGATTTGTATTAAAGTTGTTTGTTGTTGCTGTTTTCAGACTCTCGCAGTAAATCCAGAAAGCAGTCTAAGAAAAGGAAGAAGGAAAAGTACAAAAAAGTAAATGTACTTTGTGCTTGACCACGCTCTGTTAACTCTTTCCTATGAAAGTTTTTTTTAAAACGACTGGTTTGTTCAACAGAAAGCGAAGCGAGAAAAGAGACCGAAGCGTAAAAAAGACAAGAGATCAAAAGAAGGAGAGAACTCAGGACCCGTTCAGATTTCTAAGGTAAGCAGTTTTATTAAAGCTGATGATAAACCTGTTTTTTTTCTAATTCCCGTTAAAATGCGGTCATACTTCAAACATTTTATCTTTCAGTATTTGAAGGAGAGAAAAAAAGGCAAGTACAGTATGATTTCAGGGAAGAAGATAAAGATGAAAGTAAAGAAGTCCAAAAAAGACAAGCAGGTGATCTCACATTTTCAAGTCTTCTTACTTTTTCCCATAAAGTTTTTTTTCCTCGTTTTGTTTTTCCTCACAATGTTCCTTGTTTTCAACAGAGGGATAAAAATCGAGCAGAACTGCTTGATTTCCTGAACTCCACCCTGTGACGCCAATGCCAAACGCCGCCAACCCAGGAAACAACTTCCCTTTGTCAGATGGGAGCTGATGGACGCAGGTCACCTGAATTACCACCAGGGGCAGCAGCGAGCTTGATAGAGCGGAGGAGATTTCCCACACGTTTAAAAGGATCTTGCGGCAGTTTTTGAGTGTATTTCTATGTAAAACTAACAATTATAAACACTACCTGTTGTTGATGGCTTGAATTACAGGAAAACACTTGAAGATTGTGGAAACATCCCTTTAGAGAATTGCTCTACCAGTTTCGACAGATAACCACATGTGCAGTATTATCTAAGGGTTTTTGTTGCTTCATGTGGAAATGCGTTCCCCTCCAAGTCTTTCATCTGGATTCTGGATCCTAAAAGTTTGGTTTTATTTAGATGTTGGCTGCGTGTTTGAGTCATGAACATCTGCACTTTTATTCTAGGAAAATGACCATTTCATTCTCATCGTCACCTTGAGCTTCAGGAGCCATAATGTCTGTACTTTAATCAGAGTTTTTCTGTGTGTATTTGTTCCTCATGGATATAGTTTTATTTTAAATTTCAGTAAATTTCTTCCTTGATCATGGAAGTTTAATTCCTGTTATTTCTAGATATGCGTGCATTCCAGCTGGAGTCTGTAAATGGACGACGACGATGGTGCAAGTGTGTGACAAAAGAAAAATTCAAATAAAAAGTGCTGGAAGAAAAATCCCTCGGTCTTCTAACCTTGAATCTTCTCAGACTCAGTTTAACAAAGCGTTACTCATATGAAACTGTCCCATTAATATTCATTTATTCATTTATACCATTTCTTTTTGGATAATTGAGATTTAAAAAATGTAATTCTTGAACAAAAAGCATTTTAATCACAAGAATAGCTCCTATTTGGTTACAGCAAACAACCCTCAAAGCTTAAAGCATCTGTTCTACTAAACGACGACAAATAATTGCAAAAGATAATCTCAGGCAACATGTAGAACTGTTTCAAGTGCTGAAAACCTTGAATCAAGGTACGGATGATTAAGAGAGGCCTGCCTTTAACCTGTCACAACAGGTGAAGCCGGCTGAGTGGTGCTGAAGACAAATCTTTCCTTGGCCTAGTGGAACGTACTAGAATACTTTATTACTCCCTCCACCTGTCTAGACCTGTCATTGTCTGTTAAATGCTTCGTATCAGGTGAGTTTACTGCTGCCGGTTCCATTGTATTTGAAGTCGGGCATGCTCCTCATCTTCTGCAGCCTCTCCTCCCTCGCCGTCCCTTTTTCCACGTCCTCTGACACGGTCTTCAGATCACTCATCCCGGTCCCGTTGGCCACGGCGGAGGTGAGGTCCACCGTGCTCCCAAAAGGGTTGATCTTGAGCCGGGACCTGAAATTCATACTCATGGCGCGTTTGTTGTTCCACTGGCGGGACAGCCGCTGCGCCTCCTTCTCCTCCTTCAGCTGTTCCAGAGCCTCCAGGAGGACGGATCGGAAGAGGCCGGACACGTCCTGCACCTCTGGCTCGTTGGCCTGCAGAACATCCCTAAATCTGAGCAAAGCAACACAGAAAAGGCAAACATTTGAAAAAGAGAACTAAAGTTTTAAAAGAGTAAAAAATGACTTTATTTGGCCTCTTGAAGGTTGAAACTACAATGTCCTGGAATTTCATCAAGAGTTGGTGTTTCATCAAAAATAAACGCAATATATGAAATTTTAAACAATCCAGATGTTTTCCACACAGCTTGATCATAACGGATGCAAGGCCTCCTAAAGTCTTCTTACACAACAAACAAACTCGTCAAACTCCCAACAACTAAAACCTCTAAATGCAGGCTTTTGATATTTAACTTTTTGTTCAGTCCGAAGACAAATCAGACCTCTCAATTTGTAGCTTTTTGTCTTTTTATCTTCCAAAGACTTGATTTGCAGAATAAAGAAGAAAAACTTTGATTTAGGTTAAACTCTCTTGTTTTAACCCTCCAATAAAGGTGGAATCTCCTGCTTCAGTAACATTATCTCTGTCAAAGTCTAACGAGACACCTGAGGCTTCAGCAGCTTTCTAAGAACTGGAGTTCGGATGAACTCAGAACCGCTCTGCTCTCAGATTAAAGGATGGAGATGTGTCAGCTAATCGGTTTGCTCCTATATCTGCTCGTCCATGTGGAGGAGGATGAAGCTTAATGTGCTTAAAGTTTTAAATTCAACTGAGCGTCTGAGGGGACATGTGAAAAAAGTAGTTTTCTCTTCATCATCAGATACTGTTTGTGCATACCTGATAGTGTGTTGTGCACACGAAATAGTAATTTGTGCTCACCATATAGTGTGTCGTGTGCACCGGATAGTAACTCATGCACACCAAATAGTCGTGTGCACCAAATAGTAACTTGTGCACACCAGATAGTAAGTCGTGCACAATAGATGGTCATGCACACCAGATAGTAACTCGTGCAAACCAGTTAGTCGTGTGCACCAAATAGTAACTTGTGCACAACTCGTGCATACCTGATAGTGTGTTGTGCACACGAAATAGTAATTTGTGCTCACCATATAGTATGTTGTGTGCACCGGATAGTAACTCATGCAAATCAGATAGTCGTGCGCACCAGATAGTGACTTGTGCACACCAGAGAGTATGTTGTGCACACGAAATTTGTGTTGACTAGGTAGTATGTTGTGTGCACCAGATAGTGTCTTGTGCACATTATTTACTTCAGCTGATATTAGTCAAAGTCAAGTTTGGGGTTCTTGATCCAAAATGACGTACATGTTTTTATAAATGAAGTCCTATTCGCCGTTATGGCTGCTCTCGTGGTCTGCCTGTATCTGTCCTGTCTATATGTGTGTGTGTGTGTGTGTAATCTTGGTCAGGCTGTTCTGTGGAGTCAAGTTCCTATGCTCTGGTTCGCTGGAGCGCTGGCAATAAAATTCTCTCTGATTCTCTGATTCTGATTCCTCCTCAGCTGTTCGCTATAGTAATATGAGTCCGTGGACATTGTTTTGGCTAAAAAGAAAATCTGGTGCGCACATGAAACCAACTTTATTTTTACTTGTTTTCAGTCAGTCCAGTTAACTAGCTTTTCTCTGCTGGAAGAAAACATGTCAAGACAACATCTGGACTTTCTTGCAGCAGCATTGCGAGATGTCCTTAAAGGTGCAGTATGTGAGAATTTAGTGAGACTTTTACAGAGGCAAAGTCCCAGAAGAGTCTAATGTTTCAGTCATTTTGGAAGGAAGGTTAAACTGAAACATGTTTCATATCCATCTGACTGATGGTCAGTTTTTCGCCTTTCAAAATAAAAGAAGGAGGGATGTAACTACTGTTTACCATCAGTGAGTGTGGGGTTGCCCTGTTTCCTGCGAGCTAACGCTGCAGCTCCGACAATTGTAATTTGACGACGGCTGGCAAAAGCTCGGGTTGTTTAAAGTGACTGCGGTAACCACATTTAACCACAGGATATCATTTTACTTCATTTCTACATAATGCACCTTTAAGTCAGTGTTGTTTCAGAAAAAACAAACGGACGTTTTGCTTCAGAGTTATTTTTCCTTACTTGAGGATGACCAGTCCGCAGCAGGATGGGGGCACCTTGGCGCAGAGGTCCTCCAGAGCGAGCCTCTCCCCGGTGCTGATGTTGAAGGAGGAGCGAGGCATGCTGGCCAGCCAGCTGTAATCCACTCCGCTCTTCAGGCGCCGGTACTCGTTCTCCCTCTCCTTCTGCAGTCGTTCGGTTTCCTTCAGCTGCCAGCTGAACTCCAGCATCAGGGTGTCGGTGACCACGTCGGCCGGGTCTTTGCGGGGGCTCCGATAATAAGGCTCATTCCAGCTGAACCAGGAGGCCATGACCTCGTTCTCCTCCACCCTTCACTACAGAAGGGACACTAAATTACTGCCACGTCTGCTTAATCTGATGGATTTATGTGTGGATTCTTGATTTTCTTTTTCCTTTTCAGGATTCGCAAAATAACCAACCAGGTGAAGGCTAAAGCTTTATATCAGTCCTTCACACAAACATCAAAACACTCCTTCATCTCATCTTCCACCAGCTCTTTGTTCTGCAGGTGTTTTAATTCTGAAGCTTTTGTTTGAAAAGCCTTTTTGTGATAAAAGTACCGCAAATAAATAAACCTGGAGCGTATGATTGGTATTTAATCAGGTTTTTTTTCTTTGTGTTAATTTTTGCTCCTTCTGTTAGTGTTTGATTTAAATATTTTGCAAAAATAAAGTTTCCGGCTGCGATCATGAGCATTCAGTCATGTAGTTTTAAAGCACAGATTAAATGCAAACATCCATCCTGTCTTCTTTAATGTGGGTTTCAGTGCCCTCTTTTAATCTGGCAATAATCTGTTGACATGCAGCATCGCAGCTGCTCTCCACGCTTCCCTCGGCTGAACTGTCCTGGGACTTGTGGGTCAGATTAACCACAACGTTCCAAGGAAAAGTCAGAGAGACGGTGTGGGATTAGAGCAACACCTGCTGCCGCACATGCATCCACCAGCCGATCAGACCGACCCGGGGACCGAGCCGACGAGACGAGATCAAAGCAGACATTTAGCTCAACATCTATGCTCAATTCTAAATTAAATATTAAGGTTTCTTCACGAAGCAAAACGTGAAGCTTCTCATCGTTGAGAAGATTTTAAGGATAAAAGAGAGAAATCCTTTTATTTTGCATTGATTTTGGTAAGATGTTACTTAGACAAAAATGTGAGTATTGGAAATGGTGAGTCCAATTTTTGATTAAATGAAGTTATTCTGGTGCAAAAATGCATTAAATGTCAAGGACATTTGTTTATCTCTGCGTTTATTTGTGCAAACATTCATCAAATAATCATCAGAAAGTAGTTTTTTAATTTAGAAATCATTTTGAATAGAAAATTCTCACGTTTTACAATATTTGTAGGTTGATTTAGGGTTTTTGTTTAAAAAATACTGAATTTTCAAAAGACTGTCTGTGAAGTGTTGCTGCCTACTTCAGTTATAAAATCAGCAAACTAGCGATCAGACTTTCTGTGTAAAATCTTCCTTATCTTACCTGATTTTAGAGTTAGGTTTTGTCACGAGCGTCACTAAGGAAACAAAATCCCAGCGGAACAGAATGAAAATCCTCAGACACCAGAAACCCAGCTGGATACTGAAAAGTGACAGAAGATAGATGGTCTCCTTCTCCTTCTCGCCTCTCCCATCCTCTCAGAACTGTCTCCTCCTCTCAGAGTGTTTTCCTCCTCCTCCTCCTCCCCCCGGGAGCCTCGGCGGCCTGACTTTACTTGTTGCAGGAGGTTGAGGGAATCATCTCCAAGGGGAGCCATTGGATCACAGCCCCTGATGAAGTGCTTATGTAGCTTTTTACGATTTGCCGTTGCCATAGCGATGCTCCTAAGCCCATTTGCCCACAATAAGCTCTATCAGCTGAAAGGGAGCTGGAGAGCGACGAAGAGGCAGAGAGAGAGAGAGAGAGAGAGAGAGAGAGAGAGAGAGAGAGAGAGAGAGAGAGAGAGAGAGAGAGAGAGAGAGAGAGAAGAGAGTGGGCTGAGCAGCAGAGATGGATGGAGTGGATGCTGCGGTACGAGTCCATCAAGGAGAGGTCACCACCGTGTGAATGAATGAACTTCCCTCAGATAATGAGGCGTGATCAGTTTTACAGGATGTGTTTTAATTCATTACAGGAGGAAAGGAAATTTTCTGAGATGCAGGTAGTCGAGTTCAGGCTGAGCGTGCACTTGTTGTGTAGGTGGAAATCAAGGTTTGTTGGTTTCTTCTGTGTGCAGGTGGGAGGAACCAACCTCAGACACGTTCTCTCTTTGCACATATTCCTCCTCCTTCTCCTCCTCCTCAGTTTTCTGTTGGAAGTCAAACAAAGAGTGACTTCACAACACCATTAGAGGAAATTTAACATCTTCCTGTGCCGCTGTGCCAAAACATTTTAAGACAAACATCAAAGGATTTTACTGTGGATGGATGAGTTTGTATGGCAAGCCATTTGTGTATTTATCCAATCTTCTTTTGCTCCACAAATCCAACATTACACCACAGTAGTTGGATCAAACGCTGCTCAAGTTGAATAAAAACATTACTAGCAATAACTTTTTACCGTGTAGTGGGAATTTTTACAAGCTAGTTAAAGCTGAAGTCGTAGTAGTCAGTCAAAGGGCTGTACTAGCAGGTCAAAACCCATAACTAGTTAACGTATTCTTAGTAAATCACTGAGTAAAACTTGAAGATAGCAGTAATAAACAGTTTAACTAGAAAGCATCAAAACCCTTTTATGTTAACTAATCAACACAAATGTGTAAAATCTAATTTACTATTAAAACACTAAGTTTAACTAGTTGATGGTATTTTTCCTTGCTATGTACGTAATTGCAGCAAGTCATGTGCTACTCCTCGTGTATCAACTACTAAAAATAGTAGAGGTAGGACATTCTACTAAAAATGTCCGAACTGTTTACTAGTTAACAACTACAGTTAAATGTGGTCCTACTAGTTTACTATCAAAGCCTAAAACTATTCAACAACCAGCTAATACACCTAACATTGGTACTACTAGCTAATTAGCAGGGTCTAAACTGTTCACTAATCAACTAGTACAAAGGATTCCTGGTCCTGTTGGTTAACCAACAAGGCCCAAACTATTTACTAGTCAACTGGTACACATTATTTTGGTCCTGCTAGTTAACTAAAATGGCTTAAATTATTCAAATAGTCAACTAGTACACCTTTAGTTATACCATGTAACTAGTAGGGCCTAAACTAGTCACTAGTCAGCTAATGCACCATTCTTTTGTCCTACTATTTAACTAGCAGGGCCTAAACTAATCACTAGGTAAATAGCACAACCTAAACTATTCATTAGTCTACTAGTAAACCATACTTTAGCCTTACTAGTTAAGTACCAGGGCCTAAACAGTTCACAATGTAACCAGCAGGGCCTAAAATAGTCACTAGTCAGCTAGTACTCCATTCTTTTTTCCGACTAGTTAACTAGCAGGGCCTAGATGAGCCACAAGGTAACTAACAGGACCTAAACTAATCACCAGGTAGATAGCACAACCTAAACTATTTATCAGTCTACTAGTAAACCATACTTTAGTCCAGGGCCTAAACTATTCACTAGTAAACCAGTACACCATACTTTAGTTCTCGTTAACTAGCAATGCAGCTTAAATTATTAAAAAAACCAACCAGTACATATGACTTTGGTTTGACTAGTTAAATAGCAAGCTCCAAACCATTCCCTAGACCACTATAACACTAGTCAACTTTGGTTCTACTAGTTAACTACCAAGGCTACAACATTTTACTAGTCAACTTGCACGCATTACTGTGGGCCAGTTAGTTCACTAGTAAAGCCCAAAAATATGAAATGAATCATTGAGGCATACCAGTTATCTAGTTTAGTTACAAAACTTCAGCTGGTCATCCGGTGTTGAGCAGTTAGGCTACAAATATTCATTAGGCAGCTTGTGCTTCTAATTTGGGCCTTATAATTTAACTAGTTGGGCCGAGGGCTCTATACTGACTAGTTTTAGAGGGATCAAATAAAAACACTAATGGCTTTCCATAACCTCCTTCATCGGACTGCGTCTTCTGAAGAAAAGGTCAAAGACACAAGTCATTGATGTTTTCACAAGCAGGTCAGACAGAAACACAGAAATCAAACCTCCTCAAAAATCCAATCGACCCTTCAGGGAGAGGTTGTTCAACAGTTTCTGTTTTTGTACCAGTTTACTGAACAGTCACCTAAACTCTCCACTCATATTCATGCAAACTTCATTCATAACAACAGGAAAAAACAGTAATCAAGGCCGTTTTTAGGTTTAGGGATTCAACACTCTCTTTTAGCACAACTTCGGGTGAACTTTCATGGAAGTTTGATTTTAACAACACATTTTTCCGACTTGGATTTGTTGTAAAACAGTGTTCATCAAGTGGTGGTCCTCGGGCCGTATCTGGTGGGTCTGTGTGCTCCTTCAGTTTGGGCTGAAGGGAACTGGATGAACTGTAAAATGCATTAAATCCACAGTAATACAGGATTTATATGTAGCCTAGCTCAGAGTCTGATGATAGTGCATTAGCCAATCAGAGCTCTCGCTTGTGATCAGACCTGAATTTGGTAAAAATATAACTTTTATAAGTGTTGAGTTATTTAATCACTTTTGTAATCTTACACGAGGCCGCGCTTGAAGAAGAAAATGAGTCAGATGCTGGTCTAAACGCAGCCATTGTGTCATGTTAGTAATCGGTCTGAAGAAGTAAATATGCACAAACAAAACAACGACAGTGGCTCGGCCGCAGCCTGGAGGTGACAGATGGGCAGGTAAAATCTCTCTGTAATCCAAACACATGACAGTCGTAATCTCCTAAAGTGATTCCATCCCTGCTACGCTCACAGCGGAGGCGTCTGATGGTTCTGACATCTTCGCTCTGTTACGTGACGCATGTCAGACTTCTCCTTACACCCCCTCCCCGTCCAGCAAACACCCACCAACCTGCAGCCATATGCTCTGAGTTTGTGTGGATTATCAAACAGATCTGCAGCCTTGAGGCTTTGTTTGTTTGTTTGTTTGTTTGTTTCTCTGTCCTGGAACATGTGACCAAACTAAAGGTGCTTTTCTGGGAATTTGCGGCATAAAGAAAGCTTCGTATTAGTTCAGTGAAATATATTTGTTACTCGTTTATCATGAAGTCAGTGATAAAAAGAGAACTTCGGTTTAATCTTCAAAAAATGAAAACAAATGTTCCAAAATAAGACAACGAAGCCTTTATTAGAAATAAAAAAGTGTGATCTTTGTTTTGTTTTTATCTATTTTAAAAGACCAACATGAACTTCTGCAGCTGGATTAAACTTGTTTTCTGCATCACTGGTAAAACAAAGTCTGCAAGTAATCAGTTCCAACTAGACATCTTATCACCATGTTGTCTGCAGCATCCGATCTAAACATGTCAGCAGCAGCTGCTCATTGTTTTACAAGTTTTTGTTTCCATGTGAATAAATCTAAGTGTTATCAAAGCTGGTGTGTGTGTGTTTATGACAGAAAAAGCCTCCTAATCAGTGACGTGCACGTCGGACTTGTGAGATATCAGCGAACCAGCAGAGTCCTATTGATAACAGCAGCGTAAACAACAATACGACAACAGGCGTCACTCTGTGAGGTCACTGGATTATCACCACTGTCTCTTCTTTTAATGCTGAGATGAGATAATTTGTTATTTAAATTTTCTGTAATATTGATGTTACATTTATTTTTTTACAGTGTGTACACAATTTTTTGAAAGTTAATTAATAAAATAAAAATGAAAATTTTCTCAAATAAATCAAATTTACTAATTTTAATTAATAGTTTTATATGATTTTTAAATCAAATAAGAAAAACTAAAATATGCATAAAATAAGGCTTTTTGTTTGATGAAAAATTGATTTAATCTTCTTCCAGTCCTCCCCCCTCCCCCCCAAAAAAAGTCCTTTAAATTTAAATTTACAGTCATCTAAAAATAAAATCATATTCCATTTTCCTTTTTTTATTATTATTTTAAATTCAGGGAAAAAATAAGATTTCAAGGTTTAAATAAAAGTTTTTGCCATGATGTTGCAGTACTCAGTAACACCACTAGGGGGAAGAGGCTCCCTGTTTAAACTGTTTAAAGCCCTACAAAAAATCGCCTCCCTGTGGTTTTCTTACATAATCTCTGCAGATGCATCTCAGTTTGGAGTTCTAACCACCATCACATGTGATGTGAGCGGTGTCACACAGCTTTTGGGTGCAGAAAAATGGAAGCAGCAGGAGTGGAGTTCTTGTTTTGAGAACTGAGAAGTCTCATTCTTGAGATAACACACCCAAAAAGCTAGATCAAACGAATTTTACCTTCTGCACAAACACCGACCCACATTCCTTACAAACCCTTCAACAGAAAGACTTCATGGAATCAGAGAAACATAAACAGGTGTGTTAGGGAAACAGCTGATTTGAATCAAAACTGGACTTCACACCTCAGAAACCAGAGCAGCAGGCAGTTTAATGCAGAAGAAACTGGCAGTGAAACCAGCACATGTTGAGCTTTCTGCACTCCTCACTGAAGAGATGTGAGTGACAGTCACATGACGAACTGACAGTGACTTTTTGTCCTCTTTTATTTTTAGTTTGCTGCAGTATTTTTAGCTATACTCTGTACCGGACGAACAGAAAAATGCAGCTTTGTCGTTCAGCTCGTAGACGTACAGATCCCACAGCACTCACCACGTTTCATTATAACTTTTTAATCTGACCT